TATCCATGCTGTGAGTGTCAGGATGGGGCCTGGGCGGGTGGAGGGGGCTGGGCTGGGCAGTGGGTTCAAAGCTGGTGCCCGTTGGGGTGGTCCTGGGGAGAGGTGATGGAGTGAGGCTGCTGGTGGGACACCTGGTGGGCTTGTTGTCAGCTCCATCTCTTGGCTACCTCTGGGCTTCCTTTCTCCATCCCCACCAGCTCCAAGTGGTGTTTCAGTTTTTTATAAAACTTTGGGGAAATGCAGACTGAGCCCGTGGCCTGAGTGTTGAGAGAGGCCACCTGGGTGGGGAGTCCTGGGGAGAGGTGATGGAGTGAGGCTGCTGGTGGGACACCTGGTGGGCTTGTTGTCAGCTCCATCTCTTGGCTACCTCTGGGCTTCCTTTCTCCATCCCCACCAGCTCCAAGTGGTGTTTCAGTTTTTTATAAAACTTTGGGGAAATGCAGACTGAGCCCGTGGCCTGAGTGTTGAGAGAGGCCACCTGGGTGGGGACCTGAAATTCCAGGCTGTCCCAACATGTGAGGTGTTGGGGTTCACCTGCTGTTTATTCTAGACTTCGTGAGGGGAGGGAGGAGGAGACCTGCCCCCCTCTATCAGCCCCATAGCTGTGGGATGCTGGAGCTGGAACCCTGCATCCCTCCCCGGGACACTGCCTGATTTTATGGGAATGGGAAGAAAACCCTGGATCCGGGATGAGGAACTGAGCCCGTTCAGAGCTGGGCTCCAACCCGGACATCCCGTGTGGGGTTTTTTTTGAGGGGAGCGAGGGGATTTTTGCAGCACTTGGTCACCTCTGGGTTGTGTCCCTTGGCAGCCAAAGCTCCTCACTTCTCCCGGCTGGGTGACGTGGAGGTGAATGCGGGGCAAAATGCCACCTTCCAGTGCGTGGCCGCCGGCAAGGCCGCCGAGGCCGAGCGCTTCCTCGTGCAGGTGAGCAATGGGCTGGGTGGAACCACCATCTCCACCCTCCACCCATGGCTTCTGCAGGGCCTCCCCTGCAGGAGGAGATGCTGCTGGGCAAGGGGGAGAAGGGCAACCAACGCCCCGTTTTAAGCAGACATCCCTTGGGGGAGGTGTTGGGTGGCTCTGGGGGTCACGCTGGGCCTCCTGGTGACATCTTGTTTGTCCCCCTTGGGGCAGAGGCTGAGTGGTGAGATGGTCCCTGCCACCTCTGTGAAGCACATCAGCCACCGGCGCTTCCTGGCCACCTTCCAGCTGGAGCAGGTGTCCAAGCAGGAGCAGGACCTGTACCGCTGCATCACCCAGTCCAGCCGTGGTTCGGGGGTCTCCAACTTTGCGGAGCTCATTGTGAAAGGTGGGTGAGATTGGCTGTTGCCTGCTGGGTTTCTGGGTTGTGGATGGGCCATTTCTGCTCGGTTTTGGCAGAGGAGGAGGAAGGTGGGAATCTGGGCGGTGGTGAGATACCGGGGGTCAGTGGAGTTGCAGTTTCTCATGGGAATGAGTCACTACACATGGAGGGTTCAATGTAAAACTAGGAAGCTACCTTTCCTGGTGGCCTTAGATCATTTGTTTTTGATTGCAGGAGGTGGGAATTAATTAATTACCGTGCAACTGTGCAGCACCACCTGGCAGTGTGCCTTATCAGGATAATTAAGGATTGATCAGCTGAAACCCTAGTGCAGCTGTTAGAGCAGTAGAGGGCATGTGCATGGGACAAAGTATAGAGACTGGATGAAAATAGAATCCTGGACTGGTTTGGGTTGGAAGGGACCTTAAAGATCATCTAGATCCAACCTCCCTGCATGGGCAGGGACACCTCCCAGCAGCCCAGGTTGCTCCAAGCCCCATCCAACCTGCCCTTCAACACTGCCAGGGATGGGGCAGCCACAACTTCTTGGCCAACCTGAGCTAGTGTCCATGATGCCCTCATGTACTTCAGGGCCAATCCCCACATCCACTGGGGGTCCCAGTCTGTCCCGTGTTCTCCAGTCTGCAGGTGATGGGTTTGTTTGGGAAGAGACTTTGTGAATGTCTCAACTGTACTAGCTAAAAATAATATATAATAGTGGTGCCTGTGGTTGTGTTGGCCTGGCTTCAGGGCTGGGGATGCTGTGGAACTGCTTCAGGAGGAAGATACCCCACCTGCCCCATCTCTGATCTCTTCCAGAGCCCCCCACACCCATTGCACCCCCCCAGCTGCTCCGGGCTGGCTCCACCTACCTCATCATCCAGCTCAACACCAACTCCATCATCGGGGACGGCCCCATCGTGCGCAAGGAGATCGAGTACCGCATGACCTCGGGGCCCTGGTCGGAGGTCCACGCTGTCAACATGCAGACCTACAAGCTCTGGCACTTGGATCCAGACACAGAATATGAGATCAGTGTCCTGCTCACCCGCCCTGGCGAGGGGGGCACTGGCAAACCAGGACCACCCCTCATCAGCCGCACCAAGTGTGCAGGTGGGTCCCACACTGCAGCCTGGCCACCCTGGGTGGCCTTGGGCAAAGATCCCCTTCGAATCCCAGTTGGTTTTGGGCAGGTCCCCTGCCACCCCAAGCCCTGGGCAGGCAGCATGACTGGGACTGGATGGGTGCTCTAAGGTCTCCCTGGAGCCTTCTCTTCTCCAGGCTGAACACCCCAACTCTCTCAGCCTGTCTCCAGAGCTGCTCCAGCCCTTGGATCATCCCAGTGGCCTCCTCTGGACTCTCTCCAGCAGCTCCATAACACACAAACCCACAAGACATTTTGCTCCATCGCTCATCCCTCCCCATCTCTCTTCCCCCCTAGAGCCTATGCGGGCCCCCAAAGGCTTGGCTTTCTCTGAAATCCAGTCCAGGCAGCTGACCTTGCAGTGGGAGCCACTGGGCTACAACCTGACCCGCTGTCACACCTACACTGTCTCGCTCTGCTACCGCTATTCTGTGGGCTCTGGGCACAACCAGACCTTCCGGGAGTGCGTGAAGATGGAGCGCAACGCCAACCGCTACACCATCAAAAACCTGCTGCCCTACAAGAACATCCATGTCAAGCTCATCCTCTCCAACCCCGAGGGTCGCAAGGAGGGCAAGGAGGTGGTGTTCCAGACAGATGAGGATGGTGAGTCCTTTATCCCCCCTGCCGGGGTGTTTCCTGGGGCCTGGTGCACATCCGTGGCTCTTGGCCTGGAGCGTGATGGGGTTTCTGCTGTGACCATCGCACTAACTGGGAGGTGGAGAGGTGGTTGCTGTCCCAGGGCTGTGTGAGGGGAGGTGAAAGAAAGGGACAGTGATGGCAGATGGGGAATGCTGGGAGTGGCTTAGGGGGGGGACAAGGGGACAGGATGGGGGATGTCACTGTAGGGACTCCTGGGTCTGGCATTTCCCAGCCCTACCCTTGTCCTCTGGCTGGAACATTTTAGGTGGAGGGTGCAGGAGTTGAGTGGTGCCCAACTTTTCTGGTGTCTAGTGACAGGACAAGGGGCAATGGGCAAAAGCTGGAACACAGGAGGTTGAACCTGAATGTGAGAAAATGCTTCTTGACTGTGAGGGTACCAGAGCTCTGGGACAGGCTGCTGAGGGAGGCTGTGGAGTCTCCATCCCTGGACACATTCCAGACCCACCTGGATGTGTTCCTGTGGGATCTGCTCTAGGGGATCCTGCTCTATCAGGGTGTTGGACTGGATGATCTCCAGAGGTCCCTTTCAGCCCTGACACTCTGTGATTCTTTGAACTTATCCCAGCAGAAATCATCCTGCTCATCCCTTAGCATGGAACCAAAGTTCAGCAGCAGTAACAATTACAATTAAAACAATCAATGCTTTGCACTTGGGTGACATCTTTCACCTGCTTGGTTGCTGATTAACTCCATACGATGTTTCAGGGTTAATTGCTGATAACCAGAGCCCAGCTCAGCTTTGCTCTGAGCTCTGCCCTGGTTAATTTTGCTCTCAGGTGGGTTTAGGTTGTGCAGATGAGCTCTGTGAATGAGTGTGTGTTGATAAGGGGTGTCTGGCCCTGGTTATATGCCAGCAATGTTGCTCCTGAAGAGCTGAGCTGTTTTTTTTTCATCCTGTCCTGGCAATGCCCAGGGTTTGGGTCCCCACTGTGGGCACCTAAATGGGGCTGATGTCCTCACTGGAGGCTCCAGCGTTGCTCCAGGACTCCTGGGTCTGGCATTTCATGCTCTTTCCCAGCCCTTCCCTGAGGATGTCCCAGAGCTGGGGCCACTGGAGAGGTCTCCCAAGTCTGGCCTGACCCTGCACTGTGTTCCCCAGCTGCAGCTCTCCATCATTTTGGACTCTGAAGATACAGTGAACATGGCAGAAGTGCAGGGTGGAGCTGGCTCCCTATCTCCAGTGCCACCCATCAGTGACAGGCCACGTTCCAGGACTGGTAGCTCTGCTAATGACTCCTTCTGCCCATCACGTCCTTGTCATAGCCCCACCAGTATCTCCTCCACATGCTCTGGTGGCTCAACCCTGTCAAGGACAGCAGAGCAACCCCCAGAAGCTGCTGCTCTGATGGCTGGTCCTGCAGCTGGTGGGGCTGTGAGATCCCATCCTGCTCTGCTAAGGGCAGAGGTGGGGGCTGGTGTGGGGACGGAGACCCACTGTGCCCTGGGCTGGGTGCTGGATGCTGAGTGTGGCAGGAGCATCCCTGGCTGTTGTGCAGTCACCAACGTTTACTGTGAAGCAAGAAAGGAACTCATCTCCAAAGCACTTTTTAACATGATGAGTCAGCAGTGAAGGTGGAGGAGCTGATAACTGCACAGGATCCAGCTTCCAACCCTAGGATGATCCCTAGGAGAATTCTGCCAGAAAACCCCTTGCTTGGGACTTGCCTTGAATTGGGACCCACCAAAGTGTGGCTGGCTCAGCACTCCCAGTTCCCAGGCTGGAAAGTAAAGCCTGCGGAGCTGGGAAGGTCTCTGGGTCCTGTTTCCATCTTGACTGCCTGAATTTTGGCACCTTTCTCTGGCTCTTCCTACACTCCCAACCCTGATCTGCCCCACCAGAGGCTCCAGCTTCACACTCCTACTGGTTGATTTTCTGGCTTTGGCTGCTCCAGCTGTTCTCACTGCACTGTGACTGCTCCAGCTGTTTTCCTAGGGAATATTCATACTCCAGATGTTTTTTGCTCTGCTGTCATCACTCCAGCTGCTTTCCCTTGTGCCTGGACTAACTGGGGCTTGGGGCTTCCCCCTTGGGTGGAGTGTGGGGTCTCAGGGGTGATGGATTGATGGATGTCTGCCCATACATACTGCAGGTACTACACAGGGACTTGGCCCAGCACCTCTCAGCCTGCTTGGAGGGTAATGAGGATTCCAGCCCCTCGAGCTGGGTGACGAGCAGCAGCCTGTGCAATTAAGCCCAAACTTGTTAATAATAGGACCTTTGATTTGGATTTATTTTGGTGCCAGGGCAGCTCTGGTTGCAGCATCCACTGATGCAGCCCTGGGGCTTGTTGCGGGGGGGCTGGTGTGGGCTGCAAAGATGCTCACTCCCCTTCCCAAGGGAGAAGCCCTGCTTTTGGGGTTAGAAAACTCATTTCTGGAGCATTGATAGCTGTGCTTAAACCATAGGTGTCTGTCACAGCATCCCCTTGGACCTCAGGTGAAGTCCTGCTGGGTCCTGGGTGCAGAGAAGAGGGTGACTGAGCTGTAGGTTGCCTGGCTGGTGTTGAGGTGGCCCCATATAGATTCAGGGAGCTTGGGAAGGTTGGTGACCCTCAGCTGGAGATTCTTGACTGTGTCTGCATGAAACAATGAGCTTCCCACACAGGGGCATGTGGCAATGCCATGGCAGTGTGTTGGTGCCATGGGGATGAGTGTGCAGGGAGCCAGTTCTGCAGGGAGGGCATGTGCAGTGCATGAATAAATAAAAAAATGCATTAAATATATATATATATATATATTTATATATATATGGCAGAGGGGTGTACACACACCTGGAAATTGTTGTGTACCTCTCCTGGTCTCATCCTGGTGCCTGCACAAGCGCCTGGTGCCTGTTCCAAGAGATACATCGAGCAATGCTTGTGTATAAATGGATCTATAGAGATGCATATTCCTGCCCTAAAGGTTTCTCTAATTCTCCACGAATTTAATAAGTGCCTTGAGTACACGTGTAGGACACGGTGCCTCTGGTGAAATGAACTTGTAAATCAAGTGGAAACGGTGTCTTTGCACGGTGGGGAACACGCGGCCAGCGCTCGCTCTCCCGGCCCCGTAATTAGATCTGAACAAACCCTGCAAGGAAAGGAAGGCAGAGAGAAAGAGCTGAGGACACTCTGCAAGGAGAGGGAGCATGTTTTGAGTGTTCAGAGGAAGATGCTGCTGGGGATCAGGGGCTTTGAAGGGCTGTTGCCCCTCCTGTCCCCCTCCCTTGACCCCCTTGGGTCAAGAAATCTGTGGTAAAGAAGCAAGTATTGAGCCTGGTGCTATTCATGGCTGTTGTTGTTTGTGCTTATTATTGGGGGTGTTAATTAGAGTGGAAGGCTGGGGCACGTCAAGCCTGCCTGCAGATGAGGATCTTATCTCTCACCAGGGGAGCTCTGGCAGCATCTCCAGAAGATGCTGGTGGCTCCAGGCAGGTGAAGTCCTGCTGGGTCCTGGGTGCAGAGAAGAGGGTGACTGAGCTGTAGGTTGCCTGGCTGGTGTTGAGGTGGCCCCATATAGATTCAGGGAGCTTGGGAAGGGTGGTGACCCTCAGCTGGAGATTCTTGACTGTGTCTGCATGAAACAATGAGCTTCCCACACAGGGGCATGTGGCAATGCCATGGCAGTGTGTTGGTGCCATGGGGATGAGTGTGCAGGGAGCCAGTTCTGCAGGGAGGGCATGTGCAGTGCATGAATAAATAAAAAAATGCATTAAATATATATATATATATATATTTATATATATATGGCAGAGGGGTGTACACACACCTGGAAATTGTTGTGTACCTCTCCTGGTCTCATCCTGGTGCCTGCACAAGCGCCTGGTGCCTGTTCCAAGAGATACATCGAGCAATGCTTGTGTATAAATGGATCTATAGAGATGCATATTCCTGCCCTAAAGGTTTCTCTAATTCTCCACGAATTTAATAAGTGCCTTGAGTACACGTGTAGGACACGGTGCCTCTGGTGAAATGAACTTGTAAATCAAGTGGAAACGGTGTCTTTGCACGGTGGGGAACACGCGGCCAGCGCTCGCTCTCCCGGCCCCGTAATTAGATCTGAACAAACCCTGCAAGGAAAGGAAGGCAGAGAGAAAGAGCTGAGGACACTCTGCAAGGAGAGGGAGCATGTTTTGAGTGTTCAGAGGAAGATGCTGCTGGGGATCAGGGGCTTTGAAGGGCTGTTGCCCCTCCTGTCCCCCTCCCTTGACCCCCTTGGGTCAAGAAATCTGTGGTAAAGAAGCAAGTATTGAGCCTGGTGCTATTCATGGCTGTTGTTGTTTGTGCTTATTATTGGGGGTGTTAATTAGAGTGGAAGGCTGGGGCACGTCAAGCCTGCCTGCAGATGAGGATCTTATCTCTCACCAGGGGAGCTCTGGCAGAAGATGCTGGTGGCTCCAGGGGGAATTTGGAAGGTGTGGGAAAAGAGGATTATTTTTCCTTTCCTCTCCTTGGTGAGCTCAGGTGGGCTCTGCCGGTGGTGGCACCCAGGGCTTGCTGCTCTGCTGGCAGAAACGAGACCTGCTGGGTTTGTGTCATGGCAAAGTGCCATCAGTGGGCTCAGGAGCACAGCAGTAGCATCTCTGGGGAGCCCCATCTTTCTGAGGAGTCACCAGCCTGGCTAGCGGCATGTTCCGGAGCAGAGGGGATGTGGTGGCTCTGGCAGGGCAGAGCTGCTGCAGCCACCTGGAGGGCTTTCCTGGAGGATTTAGCCTTCCAGATGGGTTTCTTTCTGTATCCAAGCATGTCCCTCTTCCTTCTCCAGTGCCTGGTGGCATTGCCTCGGAGTCCCTCACCTTCACCCCCCTGGAGGACATGATATTTCTGAAGTGGGAGGAACCAGTGGAGCCCAACGGCCTCATCACGCAGTACGAGGTACGTCC